AGTTGTTATTTCCTATGAGGGTCAATTATTATTGGAATTATTCGCCAGAATATTGACCCTACAGCAATATGTGTAATTTCCCCATTTGTTTTGTTTAAATTATTAATCGGATTCCAAATATGATGGGCTGGATTGTGTTGGGAATTTTATTGCAAAAACTTGATAGAGCAATTAGTGAGACATGTTTTGAAATATAGTGGGTATGGCTAAGAAGCCATCAATGACACCAGAAGATTCCTTGAATCAATTAATTGTTTCAAATATTTCCACCTCATTTACGGGTCAGTATTATCCAAGGGTGGAAGGATGATAGGAGTAAAATGCATACTTAGATTGTAGGCCATAGAGAAATTTTATAATTGCGAACAATGGTGTCATTGGAACAAACAAGTTGATGCTGAGTTTATTTTGAACAAGTTTATTTCATTTTCAATTAGTCTTATGTTAAAGGTTTGTATAGATTATCTCAGTATATTAAAGTAGTTAATATTATTTCAGTTGAGTATTTTTTTAATATTTATGATTTATTTAAACACTCAAACTTTTAATATTATTATTCAAGATGATTGAAATAGCCAATTTTTTGAGAATAAAATAAGATAACCCTTTGGATCGTGCTATTGCTGGTGGGATATGTTCTATCATAAAGTTATTTATCCATTCTAGTGCCTCACCAATAGGGATTGTGTTTATATTATTAAGCCTTGAAATTATATATGTAAGGATTTATTTCATATTGGGGGTAATATTATTGTGATTTAAAATTGATGCATATTGTTGCTATATGGCAGGAAACAAGAACGATCATAAGACCGGATTAATAATATTAAGAAAGTCCTTGATGCTTGGCATCTCTATGCATATTCGTGCCAAATAATATTGTTATTGCATATGGAACATATTGCTATATATAATTATTTTATATTTTTTTCAATGGAATTATTAAAGAATACAAAAATATCTTATATCAATAACACAATACCAGATGCTATCCAGCAGGTGGGTAAAAAGACATAATAACATTTTCATCTTTAGAACTTATTGTTCCAAATTATAACGGTGGTGTTGTATGGACAAGAAAAAATGTTTTATTTATTATAAATATATCTAAAACTAAAAATGATACTAAAAATAAATATAAAATAAGGTATATATATATGTATTATAAAAAAACAATTTAAACGAAATACATGGTTAAAGGCTAACATGTTTAAAATAAAAGCAATTTAAGTTAAACAAATTTAAAAAGTCAATCTCGATTAACATTCCCCTTCTTCTGAAAAACCTTCCCATAATCCATCTGAGCTGTCAAAGAAAGCTTGTCGTCCAAATGATTTATCATTTTGATTGTCAAGTTGTTGCATAAGTCGTCTTAATCGTAAGCTTGATATCTTTATCGTAAATTATAAATCGTGATTTTCTCATGTAGCTTGCTTATAGTACTTAGTGGTTATTATTAATTTTTCAAAATTGTTATTATCATTATTATTATCAAATAGATGTTGGAACGTATGAATAATCAGAGAATTGATCAAATATGGATGTTAGAATAATAAAAGGATGATAAATCAACAAGATTGTTAGATAATATTTTTAGCGTTTTTATTTTTTATATTTTTAGCGTTTTTTATTTTATTTTGCGTTTTTCAATTTATTTTTTCGCGTTTTAGTATTTAATTTTTTGTGTTTTAGTTTATTTTTACATATTTTAATATTTTAAGTTATGTAATCTTTTAGATAAACAGGTTTTTATCTACTTCGTATCGGTCTAGGAGTCGGTGTTACAATATTTTTATAAATAGTTTTAACATTTTTGTCCACACTTCCCTCCTTCTTAGGAGAGTCGTGGTATGCAAATGTTTCAATTTCAATATTTTCAATAACATCATCACTAATTTCTTGTGGTAATCTTGAAAGGCAGTCAGGAACAACATTGTATTTACCTGCTTTATATTTTATGTTGAATCGTAACCCCCCAAAGTGATATTCCATTTTTGTAACCTTAAGGACATGGTACAATTGTCCTTGAGTCCCTTGGTGAAAATGTGGACTAGTGGTTTATGGTCCGTGATGATATTAAATTTAGTCCCAACCAAATATTCCTGAAATCTTTTAATTGCAAACATTATGGCAAGAGCCTCACGCTCAACATTGGTGTAATTTATTTAGGATTTTGCTAAGGTTCTAGACGCAAATGCTATGGGTTTTTCTTTGCCATCTTTCTCGTGTGAAATAGTACAGCCTCTAATCCAGTGGATGCATCAGTCGCAATCCCAATAGGTAATTCCGGATTAAAATACGTCAGTGCTGGAAGGAGACTAATCAACTTCTTTAAATCATTAAAACTTCTAGAATGTTCTAAGTTCTATTCCCATCTTTCTTTGTTGACCATTTTGTACAACGGATCAGAAATATCAGCGAAGTTATTCAAAAATTTTCTATAATAACCAGCCATTCCCAGAAATGTTGACAACTCAGCAGCAGATTTTTGCTCTGCATGTTAATTATTGCTTCAATTTTATTATGGTTAGCATGAATCCCCTTGTCATCTATATCGTGACCCAGGAATAACTTTGTTTTTAAAAAATAAACTTTTGGCGAAGTTAGGTACTAACCCGTACGATAATATTCTCTCAAACACCTTTTTGATGTTGTTTAAATATGCTTCATCGTTATTTCCAGTTATTAATAAGTCATCAATATAAAATATAACATCTTTCATATCACCAAAAATCTGATCCATGATTTGTTGGTAATAGCAGATGAAGTTTTCAACCCAAAAGGAAGTCTGATAAATTAGTAGTATCCCTTATGTGTAGATATAGTCAAAAGTTTCTGCTATTTTTATCGATCGGAACTAGTAAAAAGCATTTTTGAAATCGATTTTTCTAAATTTTTTTCCTTCTGAAAGTTTAGCTATAAGATCATTTATACGTGGAAGCGGGTATCTAAAGTCTTCGAGAGCTGGGTTTATAGTGTCTTTAAAATCTGCGCAAAGCCTGATGCTCCCATCATCTTTGTATGCGGCGGTTATAGGACTCGTTCATCGCACATCATTTACAGGCTCAATAATTTTTTCGTGTATCCATCTATTCAGTTCTTCGCCCACAAGATCAATTTTTGAATACGGTATACGTCTTGGTGATATTATTTTAGGTTGGGCGTCACATCTTAAATGAAATTTGACATTTACTTTGTTAGTTGGTTCGCTAGTTAATTTGTATTCACAATCTTTAATAAGTTTATTGATTTCGTCTTTATAATTGGTGTCGACATTTCCTATGAATTTATTTAAAATATTTTAAAAACATTGATCCAGATTCTTCATAATAACGCGTTCTTTCTCGACTCTACACTACTGCTAGTAAATATTTAGTGATTTCTTCATAACTTACTTTAACTTGAGTTGTCCCGATGATCTTAATCAAGTTTCCGTCGTAGGCTGTAAGCCGCAAACTGGATTTCTTCATTTCTCTTATGCCAATTTTTTTTAGCCATATCATGAGGTATGATGGCATACTTTATTCCAGTGTCAACCTGATAGTTGTAGTAACATTATTTAATTTCAAAGTAGTCATAAAAGCACTGTCATCACCTTTGTCTATATTTTCAGCTAGGTTGTTGACATTGAAATCATTCTCATTATTGTATTTGGCAGTGCCAACTTTATTTTCCCCAACTTCTTCAATGTTCATATAACAATTATTGCCATCGTAGAAGTTTTGATTATCATACTGGATTTGTATTCTTTGATTAAAACCTTCCACCGATTACGATCGTCATATTCGATTTGTTTTCTTTGTTTATCATTATTATGCCACCTGTTGTTTCCTTCATAATTATTTGAATTGTTGTTATAAGATCGGTAATTATTATGATTTTGATCGTCACATTGAATCTGCCTCCTCAGATTATAATTAAACCAGGCGTTGTCCTTACTAGAGAACTGCACGGGCTGTCCGTAGCCCGACCCGACCCGACCCGGCCCGACCCGAGCCTCGGACTCGGGTCGGGTTCGGACATCAAAAAAAATTTTTCTCGGGTTCGGGCTCGGGTCGGGTTGTAAAAGCTGTCCGACCCGAAAACCCGACCCGACCCGACCCGAAAATATATATAATAATATTAATATCTTAAATAGTTAGTATAATTTATAATATTAATTATAAAATCATATTATTTAATATTTATCACATTTTAGGATTAAAATGTCAATCATATTATTTAATATTTATCACATTTTAGGATTAAAATGTCAATCATATTAACATGTCATGTCATTATTAATTATTATTTTATAAACCTAACAACCCGATACCAAACTATTTTATTACTAAATTGTGTTTCTCGTAAATTACAAGATAAGACATATTTTATGTAAGTTTTATTTATTATTTAACTAGCCTATACATTGTCTTTTTTAACATTTGTTTTAACCCTTCACTACAAAGGTAGAAAAAACTCCCTTAACTACAAAGGTGGGGTCTATTTTACCCCAAATTTTGATTAGATATATCTCAAAACATATTAAAAATTGAGATCTAAAATTTTGAGTATATATTTAAAAAATATTGGAGATAATAAATACAAAATCTTAGATTAATATTTACTTCCAAAAAAAAGTTAGACAAATTTTCCTAAAATTACTGAAATAAAATTTTCTTTTTCAGTACTTCCTTTAATTATTTTATTATCACTAAATAAAATTCAAAAAATTCAAATTTTATTAAATCAATGTTGAATAATGATAATTACATAAATTTTATAAAAAAATATCATATATCAAAAAAAATATTAATCATCAAATATGTAAAATTATTAAAAAATAATAATGTAAATATATATCTTAATATTATTATTGAATATTTTTTTCTTAAGAAACTACAGAGGTGGTAGAATGCGTATTCTGATGCTAGCGCCGAAGTTGACGAGCTAAAAAAATATCTAGATCCGAAATTATGTGTTGATGACGATAATATTTTAAAATGGTGGAAAACAAACCATTATGAGTTTCCAAATTTAAGTATTTTAGCTCTTAAATTCCTGGCTATCCCTGCTTCGTCGGCTAGCAGTGAAAGGGCGTTTTCAGCTGCTGGTAGGGCCTTTGAGGAGAGAAGGACTCGTTTAAAGCCAGATAAACTGGACGCCTCTTTATTTATATATCATAATTATTCACTTTGTGATAATTTTGATAATGATATTGATGAGGTCAATATATAATATAATATGTTCATTATATTTTTTATATATTTATTAACTTTTACATCATATCTATATTCGCATAAATGATGCTTATTATATAATCGTTATAATTTTTAAATTCGCTTGTATATTAATCGTTTTATAATATTTTTTACAAATTTTAAAAATGCAAATATCTTGAATAGATTATGGCCGTCAAATAAACTTTTATTTAAGGTGGCTGAACTGAATAAATACACATAAATTTTTTTTTGGTTATTATAATATTAAAACTTAAATTGCAAAATTTTATTCGGGTCGGGCTCGGGTCGGGTTGGATTAAAAAATGTGTGCTCGGGCTCGGGTCGGGCTCGGACAAAAAAATTTTTTTAATTCGGGCTCGGGTCGGGCTCGGGTTGCGAAAAAATTACTTTGCAGTTCTCTAGTCCTTACCATAGTTGTTGTTATAAGATTGATGATTATTATTATGAAAGTTTCTGTTGCTATTGTTATACCGATAATTGCCATTTTGATAGTTACTATCATTATACTGATTACTTCTATAGTTATTATTATAATTGTTATTGTTTCTAACGTTACTAAAATTCCTATTCCTGTTGTCGTTAATATTACTAAAATTGTTATCACCATAATTTCTATTCCTACTGTCAAAATTTTGCCTCGAATAATAATTAGGTCTATTATAGTTACTATTAATCTCATTCTTATTAGAAGTACTTTGGATGTTTAAATTCTTATTATTATTTCTATTATTGGCATTATTTTTATTAAATTTATTATCCCTACTAAAAACATAATTATCATTGTCACTTTCTGATTTAATGTTAATACTATCTAATTTTCCTCCTATTTCAATCATTTCGTCTAATGTGTAGTTAATATTTTTATTTAATTTATTTTTTATATTGTCATTTAAACTAGATGTTCTCAATTTTTCTTTTATGCGATAATCATTAATAAAATTACATTGTCTACTTAACTTAGACAGTCTAAAAAACCCAATCCAAAAAAGATTCCTTAACATCTTGCGAAGCAAGGTTAAACTTCCCAGTCAATATCCAAACATCTTGACTGGGTAATAAAAATTTTAATTTTTTAATAATAATTTTATAATCTTTGATATCTTCCTTAGTACATAATGACTTAATTTTATCGTATAGGTCATCAGATAAATTGCTCATCAATGTTTCAATTTTTACGATAAAATTGTTTGAGAGAAATAATCGTCAAGTCTTTCCAAGTAAGGGTCCCTCCAACTTTGGGAATTTAACTTTCCTGTTGTTTTTTACTTTGTGTGTGTCCTTTATATCGAAAACTTTTTATAATTTATTACATAATTCCAAAAAATTTATTTTTATTTTAATATTTATCGGCATATGCAATATGAGATTTTTTTATATATCATTGTGCGTGAGTTACCATACAGAGCGGGGAACCATGTTATATATCAATAACGGTGGTGTTGTATGGACAGAAAAAATGTATTATTTATTATAAATATATCTAAAACTAAAAATGATACTAAAAATAAATATAAAATAAGGTATATATATGTATTATAAAATAACAATTTAAACGAAATACATGGTTAACGGCTAACATGTTTAAAATAAAAGCAATTTAAGTTAAACAAATTTAAAAAGTCAATCTCGATTAACATTAGGTAAAAAATGTATTTGTATACATACTATCTGCCATATGTGTTATTTAGTAACGAGAGCTTCTTATTCAAAAAATATTGATTATTTATAGCCCTTTTTCAACAACCTTTTTATATAATTTTTAGCCTTGAGGAAATACTTCTTCAAGTTTTGTGATATTTATATGCTATATTGCCCAATGTCTAGGCTATGAAACATAGTTCAAAGTTTTTAACTTATCTAGAAAGGTTTCTATAGATATTTAAGTTAATTCACTACCCCCAAGGCTAAACCAGGGGGTTAGGAAATTGACAAATAAAATACCATTAAATTGCATAGGAAATAACTATTAAAATCTAAAAACGATAAAAATAAAATAAATGGAATTGTGTAATGTGCGGCAAAAGTTATAACCATAGTAAAAAATGCGAAGATTGTAGGAATGATCTATTTTATGTGTGCCCATATTGTGAAGATAAATTATTTAACAATATTTATATTTGGTAAATAAAATGTGTCAATCATAACTATGAATTTTTGGGTATTATGAGTTAAATTTGATATTTTTCATCTTATCCACGCTCATTGGTAAATAGAAAAACACTATTTTACTTAGCCCAAATTAGCATAAGGTAGAAAGACCCGGGTTTTTTATTTTGTAGTCTAATGATTTGGTTTTTAAATAATATCATTTTATCCTCCAAAATTAAATTTTATGGTAAATGAGCAAACCACCCAGGCCCCGCCCTTACTACACGCTATGCCGTCATTGGCAATATTAAATATTTTAAAAATTTTAATGATAAAAGAGTCTAGGTGTTAAATGAAGACTATGGTGTAAACATTTTTTAACTTAGGTAAACTAACATAATATCTGAAAAGTAATTCAGTAGTTGAGATTATTTAGTTAAAAATATTAAATAAATTTTAATTTGGATTTTTTTAAAATCAAACATTACATTGTTAAGTAAAACAGGGCGAGAGGATAAAAATATTTAATTTAGAACAAAATTAATTCTCACAAGAAATAATAAAACTTAGCGGCCCTTAAAACGTCCCGGGGAAGCGGCTTTGCTTGAATCTCCATTTGCACAGGCATGCATTTGATAATCAAACTTATTAAGTAAACAGGGCGAGAGGATAAAATGCAGTTGATAATAAAACTTTATTATTAGTATCATCCAAACATTTGCATATTAAATCATGAGATTGGGAAATATTACACACGCCATGGTATAAAGACATTCATGAATTATCTTAGGATATCTGTGTATAAAATTATTGCCTTTTCAGATTAATATTCGTCTCTTACATTTTTTTAGAAACTTTTATCTGTTTTTCTTCCCAATGTCTTTCTTGATATTATACTAAAATTATCTTTATACGGTTATATAATCTAGTATAAACATTACAATCATTTTCCAAAAATAGGAAGATTGAAGAACAGATCAAAAATCTAAATGTATACATATATTTATTAAAATTCAATATTTAAAATAAAATATCTGGTTATTAAACTAAGTGCTTTGATATAATCCAAATCTGTCATCAGAAAAAATTAATAAGATGGATATAGCAATTTTGTATAAAGAGTAAAAGGGATATAAAAAATGAATAAAAAAGTGTCCCCTGAATATAATCATCCAAAATTTATTAATTGCATTTATTAATAATTTAATTTTAGAAAAATATTAATGCATGATTGTAATTATTAAGCGTTTTTCATAAAAAATTAATTAAATTTATAAAGAAATAAGGAATTTTGAAAGTAACTGTCAATTATAATTATAGGCTTGAAAGATGTTATTAATTATAATTAAATTCCTTTTTTAATAGGTAATAAATCATTTATAAGTTTCATTTCAAAATTTACATAAAATATAAGGGGACAATTAAAATAATCTTCATTTTAGAATAAAGATGATTTTAAATTATTTCTTCTTACTTAAAAACTATCATTAATTGCTGAAATGATATATTTATAAAAGCCTAGGTCAAAATTTATTATAAAATCCGGGTTGCAAAAAAAATTTATATACCTGGACGGGCCAAAATATCTTTTTTTACTTTGAAATATCAAATTAGAAGAGATATTTATTTAAGCTGTAAAATCCTGTAAAATTTTTAGCCAATATTAAAAATGAATAATTGCTTTAAACTTTTAAAATATAATTAGTTTGGTTTTTAAAAATTATATAAAATAGTTAATTCGCATTTACCATTTTCATAATCAGAATAAGAAAAAGTATTATAATGTAATTTATAGTAAAATTTCGTGTAAAATTAAAAGATATTAAATATTTTGTTCTTTTTTTTAAAAAAAATGATAAGGTAAAATAAAACTCAGGATAGGCTAATTTTAAGTTTATTTTATTTTATAAAAATTAGGAAAGTGGCTAAAAATAAAAATTTGAATGACATGTTAAAAAATCAACTGAGATCGTAAATTAATAGATGAAGTATTTTCGCGTAAAACAGATAAAAAAAAATTGAGAGGTACATCAAAATCGAGAGGCTTAGCCATCCAAATTTATTAAACTTAGTCTAGGCTAAAGAGCAACTGAACTTTGTACTGAAATCATAGTTTTTTTTTAAATTTAATTTAAACACCCAGACTAGGCTGTAATCTAACTATTATTTTGTTCTTTAATTTTTGTTTATTAGAACATATCATACATATAAGTTATATATTTTTATATTACGCTGTTATTTTATTTAATAAATAATTAGATGGAGAAATTTTTGGATCTGTTCATGGAAATAAAGTATTCATAATTGGTAAAGAAAAGGCACTATATTTATGTGAAGTTGAAATATTTGGAGACCAACTATCATTAGGAAGTAACCAGTTTTATATTGAAATTAAAAATATATATCTATAATGTTTCATTTTTCCTAAATATTTTTATAAATAATTTGATATTTTATTATATATTTGCAAGGTTAGGCAGTCTTAGATAAGTATCTTGTATCTTCTTGTGCATTTAAAAAAATATCTTGCATCTGTTCTTATATATTTTTTATAAAAAACATCTTGTACCTGTATCTTGTACATTTTTTTATAGATTGTGCATCTGTTTCATTATCTTTTTATTATTTAAAAGATAGAGATACTTATAATTTTCATTAATTTTTAAATATCTAAATATTTATTTAATTTAAAAAATTAAAATTTAATAGAAATCTGGGTTAAACTATTATACATTTTTCAAAATTTTTCACACCAATAATTATTAACATCCTAAGAATATCCCAATCAAATAATAATCTGTTTACAACCAGTAAAATATTACTAATGTAAAAAATAATATTTAATGAATATAAAATATAAATAGATCTAAAGTTTTCTTTCACTTCAATAGAAGACAATTAATAACTTAAAAAAAATTTGAAAATGTATAAAATGTTTTTATATCAAAAATAAAAAGCATGTTTTTTTTATATTTAATTTAAATATAGTTATGTTATTTTTAATGTATTTTTTAAAATAAAAAAAAATTTATATTTTAAAAAATGATATGTATCCTGAAACTAAATTTAAACTGGATTAAGGTTTGGGTTCAGAAAATATTAAGGGTTCTGGTTCAGAGTTCGGTTTCTGGTTCACAGCCCTGATTTTCACTATAATATATTCGAGCAAATGCATTGGCAATGTAAATTTTATGCTATTATATTTGCCTAATATACCTTTCTGACTTAAAACTGTGATTATCAAATTTATGTTATTAATAATTACGTCAATTATTTATTTTCATAACTTCATATTTTAATTCTTAGCATTTAACTAGTTCTTTCGTGTTTAGCATAATTTTATCAATCCTTTCTCATTATCTATTATATACTGGTTCTATTGATCTACTTTTCCTCCATTTTCTCTTTTCTATTGAATTGATCCTTTATCTAACCCTTCTCTTCTTCTTTTCCCATTTTTATATGCTTCCCGTTTTTCTTTTTACTACTGCTATACTCCTCCCTTATTGCAAATATTTCAATATTAGAGTCGCTCTTAAATGAATACTTATTGGTATTCTTCATAATAGTCATTCATTACAACCTATCTAATATTTAAATCTTTTGAGTCATCGCTGTTTAATTCCATTATCTACACATTCTAATTTCCTCAAAAACAATTCATTTGCATGATTTGTCTCCTACTAAATTAATGTTTATATTCACAAATTTCCGGTTTAAATATGAATACAAAACTGATTTCTCACAA